TTACCAAACTTAGACCATGGTAGTTTGAGCCCAAATATTTTTTTTTTTGGAAAACGTATGGCACAAACGCAGAAAAGAAAACTAAGAAATAGCTAAAATTTCTGCAAAAAAATTCGTTTTTGCCTTGTAAGACTTCCATTTTCCATGGATGATCCCAATATAACGAACTTCTTAGAATTAATTCTTAAAGGACAAAGTGAACACAACGAAGACCCTTAAACAATCGTGTGACAATCCTGTATGTTGCGACTATGAGATAGGAATCTCATTGGCTATGCATGAATACAAGAAGGAGCAAATAAGAAAGCTACATTGTGACAGTTTCCTTATTGCACAACGATGTGACAGTTGTCCCATTGCAGATTACACGTTTCTTACGTATGAAATTCCGTACTATGGAACGATTACAACAACGAGTGGAAGAGGAAGAATGTCGAATGGACAAGCAAAGTGGTGGCGTTTTAATTATGGACTTGGAAGGACTTAACTTTAGCACCACTTTGTTATCTGTACTTGCAGGTTGGAGAAGAAGTACCACAATTCAATAAGTTCCCTTGAATAACCTATTTAGGTCCATACCGCATACTTTGGGGCACATTATTTGAACAGTATCCACAGTTAATACAGCAAATAATCATCATCAATGCTCCCAAATTTGTTAATCTCCTCTATCAGACATGCATTCCTTTTATACCTAGCGATTACAAGGTAATCCTTATTCTTATCAACGAAAAATCAATAAGTTGACTTTATTTCCAGTCAAAGATTATAATCTGTTCTGATGACTCTAAAGAAACTTTGCTGGAATATATAGATGAGTGCTGTTTGCCTGTAGAGCTCGGTGGGGCAGGCTCCTGTGATATGACAACGTCGGGTGAATTTGAGATCTACTCACCCATTCAGGTAACATGACAAGTTTTCTGAAAAAAATCACTTGTATAAGTTAATGTATTCCAGCGACCGCTTCACCCTTTTCCCAAAGCAACACCACTGGAAGTTCCTTTGGAAAAGTTGACCATTCCTGCAGGTGGGCCACACTAACGAATAGTGAGTAAGAGCGAAAATGGGAGGAGGCAAACTGCATGATTGCCTGATCTGCACAGTTTTGCATAAAGAGTGACAGTCGAACTAGAAAGCTTTCGCCACTATCAAATTTGAGAAAAAATGAAGGAAAAAACGAAAAAAGACGAAAATGGGCTAATCCTTTCCTTTTCTTTTGCCAAAACGCTGCATTAACCTTTAAAGTTTCTGACTAACGAATAGTAGCGTTTGCACAACGCTCCTTTTCCATTGGAAAAAAAAACATAAGATAGCGATGCCTCACTTTTCAAAAGATACCTACAAGCCATAACAAAGCGAAATGCTGCTCTTAAGAATAATATAAAAAGTTTAAACCAATTTCTTTTCGTTTCCTAGGCGCCTTCACTACTCAAAAATACAAATGGAATGCTGGCAGCCGATTAGAATTCTATATGCAACATGATCAAGAGTTCACCTTATTCTTCTTCCACGCCGACGACGACACGGTAGCTTTCATATCCTCGACACTACTTCAACATTTATCAAGAGCTCGGAATCAATTCAGATAGACCCTACAGCCTGGCGTGAAATCTACGCTGGTTGTGAGCGGCCCGCCTTACCACAGATAGACACATGGCGATGGACTGTGC